CTGCATCGAAAGCATTGTGCTGGAGCTGTCAGAAATCGACCACTGCACAACAACCACATTCCTTAAAAAGCTCAGCTCCCAATATCATTGTGATTAGTAGCTGTCTGAGCATCCTATAGCTCTTACCAGGCCTAAAGAATCATTGTGATACCCCTTAGTGTCAGGAAGGGCATCCCAATTCCCTCTGCATTCTCCTGCAGTGAAGTTAGTGTAATAGAAACTATCAGGACTGCAGATCAACTCTAAAAACAACCCACCTTAAAAAGACTCAGCTCTCAAATCATTGTGATTAGTAGCTGTCTGAGTCTAACCTATCCTTAAGATAAGGGATTCAGCGAACGGGGTTCATTGTGATCTGCTGTGGGTACTGAATCATTATCATCCTCATCAATAGCTGGCCCACGGTCATCTGACGTATTGTGCAATCTGCTGTATTGTGGTTCCAGCCACCTCTCTCCATTCCAAAAGGCTAATAGAGAAAATACGTAAACAAAAACACTTTTTGTCGCCTACGGTACGGCTAGCAAATTAGAGACAATTATAAAGTGTGGATGTGTGTGAGAGAGAAAAATAGAATATTAAGGATACCTAGTCTGTAATTTATAGGACAATATATAATCACTTTTGTTATTTTAAAGACTCCAGTGTCTTATTACTTCTGAAGACGCCTGCCCAGTGCACAAACCCTATAAGAAGTCTCGTGATTCCTAAGGCTCCAAAATCACTAAACGTCTCAGTATATTAAGGACTATTCTTTGCTTTACCGTCATAAACCCTAAAACTTCTAACATTTGGTTTATCGGCGTATATCTACTGAATTTTAGTATAGCTCTCATTGCTCGATTTTGTGCTTTTTGTAATAAGTCGATTTCTTTCGTGTTCATATATATTGCTAGCGTGTTACAGTACTCGAAGTGTGGTGCAATTATTGTCTTATATATTATTGCTCGTGTGTTGGGTGATAAATCCTTCCCTATCCTGTATAGGTAACCCGCTTTCTCTCCAGTTTTATATATTGGGACTTTTACATGTTCATCAAATTTCAGATAGCTATCAACTATTACGCCCAAGTACTTAAATGTAGTAACTTCTTCGATTTCTTGTCCGCTTATTTGGACTTTATTCCTTGAATCACTTATCACAGCTTGTATATCTCTTATGAATATATACTCAGTTTTTCTAATATTAATTATTAACTTGTTATGCGAGAACCGTCGACTTATCCTTTTCAGGTCATAATTCAGTTCTGCGGTTATGCCACTTTTTGATTTTTCTGATGTGTAGATTGCCATGTTGTCTGCAAAGAGCTTTATTTTGCTGTATTTTAGAATTCTTTCGATGTCGTTAATGAATACTATGAATAAAAACGGTCCTAATGCCGTTCCTTGCGGTACTCCGATCGTGATTGACTTTTTCTCCGATAGTGTGTTTCTGTACTTTACTCTCTGGTATCTTTCTACTAGGTAGTGCTTGAACCACTCAACCACTGCTCCTCCTATTCTATACGATTCCATCTTTTTAATCAATAAATTTCTGTCTACTGTCTCAAATGCTCGTGTCAGGTCAATAAAAACTACTCCAACTATTTTCCCGTCATCACATTTTCGTTTCCAGATCGAGATCACAAACTGCAGTGCAGTTTCACAAGAGTGATTACTTTTAAATCCCGATTGCATACTTATTAATATTTTATTATACTCAAAGTATTCTACCATTTGGTCGTTTGCCACCGTCTCCAATAGTTTCTCGTATACTGGTAACACGTTTATTGGTCTAAATTCTTCAGCGTTTATCGTATTCTTAATTTTGGGTATCGGAACAACTGTGGATACTTCCCATTGCTTGAGAATTTTCCCGATTTTCAACGATTCATTTATTAAGTTTACTATTTCTGTTTCTATTTCTTTAACTGCTTTTCTTAATATATTTGTATTTATACCATCTATATTATCAGATTTATTCGGCATTCTTTTCAAAGTTTTATGTAGTTCAGATAAGTCTGTTTCTCTAAAATTATCCATTTTGCAATTTGGTTCAGTGCTAAGTATAAAATTAGTCTCGTCATCCTCTAGTCTTATGTCATTTACAATCTCTACTACGCTGTCAATCAAATATTCGTTTAGCTTATTTGCTATCTCTTTTTCACTTATAATTTCCATTCCTCTGTATATTGTATAACAAATTAAGGGCGAGGAACAGCAGGAATTGAAAAACATGTGCGAGGGATATCTGTACTAAGAAAACCACGGCAAAGAGCTCCGTACAGGTGCACGAAAATGTACAGGAAATCTTAGGGACAGCAAAAATTGAAAATGATTAACGTCTGTTTTGCTGTCCCTCTTTGTAGATGTCGGTGTCTACGTCTTGCTTACGTTTCCCTGTACGTGTTACACTTTACGTTTCCTTTTACTTCTTGCCGTATGGTGTCATTGGAGTTTTTCTAAAGTCTCACGGAAGTGAAATTGCAGGTACAAAGTAGGAAATCGTGGGTTTATGTACTCGCACTATGATCTTTGATCGATTCGCTAATAATATGATTTCTCTGGGCTACTGATAGTTAAAATAACATTCCAATTCGCTTGACGCACTGTTTACGGGTTTTACGTCTGATCGAACTCATATCTTGAAACAGTTGAAAATCCCGCATTGCACATGAGACAACTGCACTAAGCTAAGGAGTTCGGCCAGTGTCAGCTACTATGTTACGCAGCATACGCTTGTCACATGTGCATCAGGCTTGTCATGATTTGATATGACACTTCTACTTGAGTGAATGTGCTCACAGAGTGAAACTCCCGCCAATTTCCCTCATATTACTTTTAGTGAGGCTAAATTCATGGCCCTAATGATAACAATAAGATAATGAACAAAGGAATCATACAACTCGTAGAAACCATACAAAAAATTACAGATTCATCGAATGAAACAAGTCATAAATCGTAGAATGATAAAATAAAACAAAACCATAAACTTGAAATCACATGTTAGATTTTATAAAATAAAGAATTTTTGAAATTTTGATTAATGGCTGTCGATCGGTACCGGACAGAGCTTCTTGACTGCTCGCTTGAAGGTTCCCGTCGCAGTCTTCACTATTGCCACCCTGATAACGTCGTCAGTACCAGGATGGGTATCCACGACTCGCCCAAAATTCCACGGAAGTGGTAGAGCGTGGTCTTCCTTTAGAAGCACGAGTGTTCCGATTTCGATATTTTCCCCTTTGGTCCACCATTTGCCTCGTCTCTGCAGTTGCTGCAACTACTCTTCGTGCCATCGTTTCCAAAAGTGTTGACGAACCTTTTGAAGGTGTTGCCATCGCGATAGTCTGTTGTCGGATGTGCCGAAGTAGTTATGTTCGGCAGGCAGTAGGAGTGTGTCCTCAATAAGCAAATGGGCAGGGGTCAATGCAGTCAAATCATTAGAATCACTAGATAGTGGAGTCTTCGGTTTACTTCGGAAGCACGGCAGAGAACCTTTCGTGCCTCTCTTCTACCACTTAGTGTATAGAACATAACAAGTTCTCCGGACCACAGTGGTTCAGCCGGATATGCTCTGTCTTGAGAATCATCTTCGTTATGTGGTGTCGAGATGGTAATATTATCGGATACTTCTGAGTTTCCGGAATATCAGCCTTCGACAATCATCCGCCAACCCGAAGAAGTCCTTCCCTATCAACGTATGGATTAAGAAAAGCGATATTGCTAGTCTTGACTACTGGTGCTACTTGCTCGATGAATTGAGGCTCTATTGCAAATGCTTCTTGTTGTGGCAGTCTTAAAATTGCTTTTTCTGCGTTTTCAAGTTTGTCAATCGAGAGCGGACCATTTTTCTTTCCACTTAACGCATTGGCTTTGAATTTGATAACGAAAGCTATCACTCGCTTGCAATTTGCCAAATGAGGAGAATTCCCGCAGCACTTCGAACTTCTCAGTCTTTGTGCTCATGAGAACGGCTGACGACTTCGTTTCTGTCATATCCACTTCAATTTCTATTCTTTTAGGCCATTCTTCAGGCCGGAGCCACTCAGGGCCATGTCACCAGAGGTCGTCTTGTTTCCATTGGTCAACTGCGATTCCTCTAGATAATAAATCCGCGAAATTCTGTTCAGAAGGCACGTGTAGCCAAATCACGTTTTGAGACAATTCCTGAATCTTCATGACTCTATTAGCCACGTATGTTTTTCTTATGTTCGGCGATGTTGATATCCAGCTGAGAACGATTGTGGAGTCGCTCCAAACGAAAATTTTGTGAATTTTGTCACCGAATGCTTGTCTCTGCTTTTTGATCCGATAAGATGTGATTGTTTATTGCCCTTCGAGTCTTCTGAAACTACATAGAGGCATGCTCCGTACCCTATTTTAGAGGCATCGCCGAAGCCCACAAAGTCGAAGATCTCCTTTGCATTTTGCGGATTTACATTCCTACTTATTCGAACGCCGTTAATTTTCGGCAAAGAGCTGTGGAATTTCTTCCATGTATTCTGAATCTCTGGAGCTTATCCCACCCACTTTTCAACTGCCACATCTTTTGCATGATGCATTAATTATTACAGGGCCCAATAGGCCTAACGGGTCGAATATCTGCACGATCTTAGAAAGTACGACTTGTTTGTTTATCTTCGAAGTCTCGTCAATTTTCACGCTGTGTTGCATCGTATCGGAGTTCGAATCAAAAAGTAGCCCAAGGGTTTTCAATGGACCCTCTTTTTCAATCGTTAGCAAACTGTCTGCTTCGCATCCTTTTGATATATTTTCGAGAATCCTTCGATCACTTCACGCCATTTTCTCAGTTGAAATTGACTCTTTTGTAGAAGCTCATCCAATTCAATTTGCAAATCTATCTTTTTTTCTATTGTTTTCTCACCAGTGATCACCCCATCCGTATAGAAATCTTCTCGCAGGACTTTAGCTGCACGTGAGAACTTAGTTTCTTCTACTGCCAATTGTCGCAAACATCTTATAGCAAGGTATGGTGCGGGAGCTGTACCGTAGGTCACCGTGTTAAGATGATACATTTGAATTGGTTGCGTTTCGTCTGTTCTCCATAGGATTCTTTGAAGGTGATTCTTGTCTGATGATGATTCGCCGAAACGTTGCAGCTATATCTGCCGTAATAACAAACTGGTGTGTTCTAAACCTCAGAATTATGTTAAACAGATCATTCTGCAAGTTCGGCCCGACCATTAACTTGTCGTTTAATGCTGTGCCAAGAGAGGTCTTCGCCGAAGCATGGAAAATGACTCTAAGCTTTGTCGTAATGCTATCTGGCCTTATGACTGGTTGATGTGGCAAAACGACTAAACCGTTTGGTTTCAAATGTCCGATTTCAATTTCAAATTCACCGTCCGATACGAGTGACATATGCTTTTTATTCTGGTAGTCCTCCATGAACTTAACATACTCCGTTTTGACTTCTGGATTGACCCTAAAACGTCTCTCGAGCGAGAACAGACGTCGAACCGCCTGCTTTTCTGGCTCACCCAAGAGAAGTTCTTCTTTTTTCGGCAAGGCTACTACAAATCTTCCAGTATTGTCTCTTCGTACAGTCTCCGAGAATTGCTGTTCACATTCTCGTTCATCTTTCGTCAGTCGTCGTTTCTTGCGAGGTTCTTTTTGATTCCAGAAACGCTCCAATTGCTCCTGTAACGCCGCATTTGTTACGAGTTCACAGAAGCGCTGGTTCTTCGGACTTCGATGAGCTCTCCACCGACGATCCATCCTAACAGCGTATTTTGCAACCTTGGAATACCCTTTGATTGTTGAATTGAATCTGAACACATTAATGTTCAAAATAGTCCAGCCCCGGCGAATAGATTTATCACAGCTGGTTCATGAAAGTTCGGATCGGCCAATTTTAATCTGTCTGGTAAACATATCAATTTTGCATTGATTTTCACCTGTGGTAAACGTTCTGTAATGCTCGGTAGCACCAAACACTCGATAAGTGTCTCGTATTCTGTGTGTATTGACCTTATCTTGACTGTGGTTGTGCGCACAATATTTGTCTGAGTTTTGTTAATACCGCTGATTAACTCGTTCTGTTTTTTTTACAATTGAGCATGAGCTTACGAACAACTTCTTCAGTTATAATATTCGACTGCGAGCCTGGATCTAAGAGCACTCGACAAGTGTGTCTATCTCCATTGACATCTTCGACCTCAACGCGAGCAGTCGATAGTATCATATGAGATGTTGACTTTTTTACGAAGCTTGCATTCAAAATAACGGTACCTTCGTTCAGTTGAACGTCGTTTCTTGAACAGTGTGTCACGATAGATTTCTTCGATGACTCGCTATTCGATTTTTCTTCTGTAGACTTATTTTCCAAATTCAAATGTAACAACGTGTTGTTTTTTTTCACAATGTTTGCAGTTTGATGATTTACAGCTGGCGGCAAAATGTCCTTTTCCCAGGCAGTTTGTGCATAACTTTTTCGATCTTGCTTCTTTTATTCTGTCCGATACTGACAGTTGTAAAAATTGTCGACATCTGAAAATCGAATGAGGTTCATTGCACATTGTGCAAGAGAATTGCGAAACTGATGATAAAGCTACTTTCTTTTCGTTCTTTTTCCCGCAGGAGGCTTCGTTGTATCGTGTTTGTTTTGTCCTTTATCTATCATTTCGAATACATGACCACGCTCATCTAGAAATGTCAGATATTCTTCCAGCGTCGGTCGGTTGTCCTCATTAGGAGATGTCTTTTCTTCCCAATCTTTCTGTGTATTAAAATCCATTTTATTCTTCAATATTCGTTATCGCTGGAAAGTCAAGCAGTTGATTCAAGTGCGTGTTGATTAAAAACTTTTTGTTTTCGTAATTTTTCTGCAGCAGTTCCCATGTGCTCTCGTAGTTAGCCGCAGTTGTTGACAGTCCTCCGATGACCTACAACGCCTTGCCACTCAACGAGCTGCGCAAGTACTGGAATTTTTGAATTGCTGAAATTGCTGTATTTTCACGTATCATTGATTTGAACGCATCTTTAAATACCAGCCACTGTTGATAATCGCCGTTGAATTGTGGCAATTGTAATACGGGAAGCTTGACGTCTATTCGTCGATCCCCGTGCTCACAATCCTTATTACCGTTATTCTGATTCTGATTGTCTTGTACTTGTGCTACAGCTTGAGCCTGTGCTCGAGACAAAGCTACGTCAATTGCTGTTTGAGCTTTTATTACTGCTGGGAAATAAATCTCTTCAAATGATGTGCGTTGCGCATCCGACTTCTCTTCGACCGCCTTTTGCGCTACTTCACCTTCCGCTGCTTGTATTTTGATTGCGTCTTGAACTTCTTCGAACGATTTCCAAAGATCTTCAATTTTTACGGATTTGACCTTAGCCGAATTTGAGCTGAACTTTGACAGTCGTTCACTTTTGTCGCAGTTGTTTCAATTTAGCCATTTTTTTACTCCTTTTTTCAAATCGGGTCTGGGAAAGGAATTTTAGAGGATACACTTATCTTTTGCTGCGACCGGTGTTGCTGCTACCAACGAGTATCTGTCTGCCGACCGTAAGATGATCTCTATCCTTTGCCCAATGCGATGATGTCAGCTGTGATGACTGCTGCCAATCAGTAAAGTCCCACGTTGGGCACCCAACTTATGTTTGGAATGATGTACACGGTTTGTTTTTGTTATTATTTAGGAGACTTTATTCACGTTACACCCTCCTTGGTGATATCTTGGTTTAACACTAGTTTTTCCCACGAGAGGCGCTCGACTCCCCGACATTCACATTAAACCTAAAAATGATACGTTGTACATCGAAATTACGTGCAACCGTGATATCGACTTTCGACCCAATGATTCTATAGGTCGCTTGTTGGGTTTCACTCAACGCGTTCTAGAAGCTAATAAATTACACACGTCAGACGTACCATTGGCCATTTTCAAGATGAACGCACTACGAGTGGAATGCAACGTCACGACGGGTGCTTACGTCAACGAACGTAAAGTGCTTATCATACACGAATTTTTTCCCGTCGTGACACCCGGTTACAAGATCATACAGGTGCTATCGCACGTCATTTATCTACCGATCGCTACCAAGATGATATATCATCTGCAGCTTCGAATTGTCGATCAAGACGGGGATCTGGTAAATTTTCAAGGAGAAGTGATAACGATCAGGCTGCACGTCAAATCCATGCTATAATGGATATCGTCTATGTTGAGGTTATATGTGAATAAATGAAGAGTGGTTTAAAGTATATGATAATAATGTATTTGATAATATAGAAAAAGAATTACAAAGACTTGTACAGATCCGCACACTAGCAGCGTTACTTGCCAACTAACCTTCTGACGTTCTGAAGCTAGGGTATACCCGTATTTACTCAACTGACCTGACAAATACAACATTACTTGAATACACGAGTTGAGACAAGTTAAGACAGGCATGAAACTTTCTACACAACTCTGCAAATTTATTATAGTTCCTTTTTCCAATCGGCATCGTAGGAGGAAAAATTTCGGTAGACATTGTAAACTGACCCATAGCTTCTTAATACAATAGAATAATAAAAGATGTCTCGACAGCAGATGTACAGTTTTCTAGAACAACTTCAACAGTCTACAATAGGAAAATTGACAGTGGTTATAATAGTAGACCGATATGCTAAAGAGGGATCAGTCGTCAACCACTTTTCAAGGCGCTAACACGTCGAAACGTCTTGTTTCCGAAAAATCTAGGATTCAAGGTCACAAGAGGAAAGTAAAGCGTTCGTTCTGTTGCATTGTTCTCGTCTACCGCGTACCATGGAGGAAGCAACGTTGAACATTTAGACACCGATCGTCTTCGAAAACACCGGTTGACTCAACGTTAAAGAATAGGAGAAATTGACAAATGCAGACAGTTACTTCTGCTGAGTCGGATACTGGGTTTCGGCAACGATTATCGCAAGATCGTCGTTAACGCTAAACACGAGTTGATTCTGACGAGAGCAAAGAGCGGTGTCAATGCAATAGTAAATACTGCTCTGGAAGAATGCAAAATCGTAATTCATAAGTTGATACCATATGTAAAGGTGTCATATCGGCAAAAAATACAACTGCTAAGTATTATCGAGAGGGATGCACCCATCTTCGTGAACTTTCGTATCTGGAAGCTGTACGAGTACGCACTACTCCCCACCACTTCGAAACACGTGACCTCCGGTGATGTTTCTTACAATCACGTTAAGAAAATTCTTCGAGTCATTCTGCAAGATGCCTCCAGGATCTATGTGAAAGGATTGGAGAAGAAGAGGTTGTTGGGAGCTTTCATAGAGTGATCGGAACATATCGCGGACCTAGGAGATCTGGAATGCTCTTCGTTGCAAAACCTACGCAAGAACTTACTCACCCGGTGTTCACACCATCATGCTCCCCATTTCCAACGTTCGGTGGAAAACGTTGAATTGTTAAGAAATTGGATGTTAGAGTGAAGAAGAGGAAGAATGTATTTTTTAAGACCGAATAAGGAGACAAAGATATAATAAGTTGTGTATTTATTCAACTCGCATACATACTTGTATAAATACGTATAAATGTTTACAAACATTAAAACTCAATCTGATTTTACTGTCCACCGAGGTAGCCCATGAGAAGTCAATCTTTGTCAGCAGCACGCACCATGTTTTGGAAAATATTTGTATCGTCTTTCAAAACTTTTGACTCCCCCGCTAGTAGAAATGTCGAGAAGCTATTTTCGATGTCAATGATTAGTTTCATTTCGTACAATATTTTGTTTAAATCTTTCGAATACAATTAATCTTGTATTCCTTTTGAACCTTTAGCTTGGCCAACTTTTTCATTGGAAGAAATGCGTCCAAACGACACACTTTATTTTCGAGAAGTCAATTTTTCTTAGTAGACCTTTAAACTTTTCACCAGATTATTAATGTCTCGCTTCGTTTCACTTCCCCGAAATGGAGCAGAATCACTTATTCATCACCGTTAATAATAATGCATTTGAAGGTTTGATGGACAATAATCGCTGCGCATCATCAAAGGGCCTTTTACACGAAGAATTTAAGGATTCCCTGGAATTGTTTCGCATCGATTCGAGCGATAAGACACCTACCCGAATTGCGTACTTTGAGCTCAAACTCTACATCTAAAAGTTACCGACGCCCATTCGGAAATGCACAAAGAGTCACTTATCTTATGCGAGTAATTCGATACCCTGAATAACAAGATCAAAACAGTGTGCGGCTACCGCCAGAAGTTTGCATGGGGGGTCAGGAGAGTCGTCGAAAGCTTCAGGACCGGGGCTGTCATACAAAACCTGCACGAACCTACACGGAGGCTTCCTGGAATCGAATAACTGACGAGAGCGGACAAATTTCCTAGAAACTATGCTGAATTCCGGAGGACTGGATCCTCGATGCGCAATTATGCGAGATAACGTTAGTAGTTATAGGCCACTCCTGGCTGTCACAACAAACCCCCACCACTATCTCCTATGGGTCATGGAGCGCACCGCGCTGTCCCCCTCCACACACCCGCGTGGCAGGCTCTCCCCACCCCCTCACTCATGTGGCGATTCCACAACATGTGGTCTTAAGGGGTCTCTACCGTAATTAGAATTTTCAAAAAATCGATTTCTTTTATTGCATTTTTCGAAAGTATACATATTTAAAAGTATCATACTAAAATTTTATAAAGATCCGAGGAGTCTAAAGGGCGTATTCAGAACTCGCTTTTAGTGCTAATAGCGCGCTTTTAAATTATTTGTTA